CCCTTCATTTTTTTTTGAAAAGTCATTTGAAGTCTAAAAAGCAGTAAAGTTTATTCAAAAGGAAACGCATGATTTGTAGGAAGAAACCGTTTAGTTCGCATTTGAAAGTTTTACTCCTTGAGTAGCGTTCAGATGAAGCAGAAAAGGAAAGGGTCGGGTGAATTCTTAAATGGTTGTTTTCAAAGAAATTCGTCAACTTTCGACTCCCCTGCAAGTTAGGAGGATTCCAGTGAAGGGATAAAATTGTAAGGCGTATCACGAAACTTCATGCAACGTGTTAATTTCATAGAAAAGTTTATAGTTTCACAGTCGAAATGACGCCTCCGCCCACTGGAAATGGCCAACTTGTACCCTTGTAGTACACATGACCTGATATGGCCTGAAGAAATATTAAATCATTTCGGCATTGGATGAACTGGCTCATGTGTTACTGTTTCACTGACACTTCAAGGGTGGGACATCCAAACAATACTGACAAAACTAACTTCAAAATCCATAGCATTTAATTCGCCAAACTGTAACGGTCTCGAGTGGAGTTACAATATTTGTTGCTCTCCAGCTTTCACCAATTTTAATTAAATTATTGGTGATACTAATTCGAAAGTTGTTAAGTACTTCTTCGAGTCTTCTTGTCAATGGACTGTAGAGACGTAGAAAAAAATAATTGTAACTAGAATAAGCCAAAAACTGTACATTTTGAAACGAGGATAGTCGAGGGGAATTTTTCAGTACATGGTCTAAAAATCTCTCTTGGATATTATCCAAATGTATGTTTATTAAAATTCTTAAAAAGCTAGATGGCTTTTTCTTTTAAAATGTGTTAACAAGCTTTAGGTTTCATCTTGTTATAAGTGAGTATGTTACAATAAAAAAAACATGCTTACAAACGTTTATGTGCGGTTTTAATTAATTCACCAATGCTAGATTTGTGATATTGCATGTATTCTATAGGGTAAATATACCCCTTTTAAAAAACGCCAGAAAAGATTTATGAACGTAAAAAATAGGTTAATTTTTTAAGCAAAAAACACAATTTATAATTATTTTTCCCAACTTGAAATACTCTGACACAATTCTTTTCGTAGATTAAAAAAAATTGACTTTTATAAAAAATGTTTACTCTTAAATCTGATCTTTTTTTAAACAAAAAGTGGTCGCAACTTTGGAATTACTGTACTTACCTAAAGTGCACTTTATAGAGGTTTGAAAGGCGATAAACTACACTTGCATAGATTAGCCTCGATTAATAAATTAGAATTGCAGATATAATAAAAACAATTAAGAAATTTTTGTTTTATACATCCTTATTAAACTCACATAAAATAAAATAACATGTAAACGTTATTAACAGGGGCCAAAAGTAAAAACTTCACCTTATCAACGAAGGTAAAAAAAGGATATTGAACCAAATGGTACGAGCAAACAAATACATTCGCATTTATTATACTTCAAGATCCAGAAGTGTAATTGGAAAATCAAAGTCTGGTAATAAAAAGAGGTGGAAATCTCTCAGAAAGGAGATACATTTTACAAACAAATAGAGATCGGACTTCCTATGACAAAGGAAGCAGCAATCGACGACTTCTAAAGTATCTATATAGACAGGAGTAAAACAGGAACGATTGTTGCTAACTGGTGTTACCCATCAGGAAAATCGGTATGTGATAATCAAGCAAACGTGCGTGTATTCCTTGCATTCCTTAGCAGCAAGGAAGATGGTGCCGTCTGCTTCTCGATATTAGAAAAAGAAATGTAAGGTTAGGACGTTCAAACTGACTGGAATTTCTTCACACAACTAAGCGGAATGCATAGCTATGTTCTAGCATGGGCAGTATTAGAAAAAAAATCTTCCAGCCGAAAATCAGCTTGCATCATAACCGATAGTTGTATTTCACTTGATATGGTGAGAAATGGGCGTGGTCACTTGCTATCAAGGAAGGTAGAGGAATATTTTGTCGTTTCCTCGGAAAACTTTGATCGGTAGTTCATTGAGTTTGGGCTAAAGCACCAAGAGGTCTGAAGGGTAGTGGGCCGATCAACTTGTTGATGAACCGGCAAGTCCCTAACACTCATAAAAAGTTACAGTAAAGAACCCATCTCTTTTCTTACAAGACACTTCACACTTATCTAAGAGGTTAAAGGGAATAAAGAATGTTAGAATTACAGCTGTTTACAAGGTTTGACAGCAAATATTTTATTCTCTTCCATCACAGTAAGAAGTTGAATGCATAATTCAGTCATAAAGAAAAGACGGATTTCAGTAGAGAAATACAAGCCTATCTACATCGTTTCAAAATTGAAGACAGTCCGTCCTTTCGGTTTGCAAACGATTTCCATCAGTATAGTACATAATTCACTATTTTTCGTGGTCCCCTTGACCAATTAATACCACTTAATTAATTAAGGTTTTTAGTTTAGATAAAAAAGTAAGTGTCACGAGCGGGATTCGAAAAAAAAAGTGGGGTTGAGATGGGAATTTAGTGCCTGAGTGGATCGAAGTCACGATACCTCAAGTGGTAGAGCAGCGGCGTATCAAGCCGAAGGTGGTGGGCTAGAATCCCGCTCGTGACACTGACTTTTTTATCTCAACTAAAAACCTTAATTAATTGAATAGTACATTTTTTCACTGTCATTTACTGGATGTGATAAGTCTCCATTAATCAGAAGAGTTAATCTTCGTGGTTAGATGGGGCGTCACCCACTATTTCTCATTGAGGATAGGTAATTCAAGACGTTTTTAAGTGTGTTAACACTATTGAATTTTAAACGTTGATGGCATATGGTAGTTTATTTGATTTTAACTCCTTCTATGGGGGCTGCGTTAGCCGAGTGGTTAAGGCGTCAGACTCTCGGCTAGTAGATCCCGCGGTCGTGGGTTCGATCCCCACCGTCGCCTCTGGACTTTTTCTGACGCCTAAGGGGACCGGTTGATATTGACAAGAATTGTCGCTCATTAATGGAAGGGGCGGGATCAGATCTCAGTGACCCTGAATTTGGTCTCAACTCACTTCAAACATGAGTTTCTTCGATGGAAGACCACCGGCACTCCGGGGGTTCAAATTAAAAAAAAATGTAGCCAGGGATAAAGTACAATAAGATGAACAGCTGCAGTGGTCAGGGGGGGGGAACTCTTCCAGTTCCTGGTATCCATTAAAAAATCCTTCTATTATTATTGTTTATTATCTGTCTGATTATTTTTTATTGGGTTTGATTTATTGAATAATTAATAGAGAAAATAAAGATCAGTTATAATTTGTGAACCAAAGTATGTAGTAAATATAATATGGAACATACCGAAAATAAATACAGAAAACCTTGAATCTACAAGATTTGTGAATTTGTAAATAAAACAGAGGAGATTGGTGAAAATATTCCGCCCTCAAATCCAGCCAAAAATGTCTATTTTTTCTTTTTAAAAAATTGTCATTTAAGGGATTTAAAGAGTGTTAGAAACTAAATGAATTGTTTTGGACAAATTTTTCTAAAAGGTGTTTTGAATTTTATATTTTTTTTATCAAACTGTTATAATTAAATTAGATCTTGAACAAAACTCTCTTATCTTGGGTAAAAAGCATATAACCTTGGTTAAATTGTAATTTTAATAAGTTGTAAATTACTTCTTATTTTTTATTGGCTCCTAATGCTAATTGGCAAGAACGGTCGCTTAGCTTAAAAAGCTTTTTGTTTATTCCAATAAAAATTTATTTTTAAGGGCTTTAAAAAGTGCTTAAAATCGAATTGTTTTTTCATAATTTGAAATTCTTAGAAATACACGCTAAGAAATGTATTATCAAAACAACTCTATTTTTAAGCGGCCCATAGACGATCAATATTATTGCACAATATTTTGGGTTGTGCAATTTAATTGGTCGTGTGTAGACGATATTGAAAGTTTGTGCAATACATTGCATGATTGACGAAAAGTTGAAAATATATTGTGCAACCTGGAAAATATTGCACCGTCTGTTGGCATTATTGCGCAATAGCAGTCAGTTTGTAAAGTATCAACAAGTGATACAGTTCATTGTACAAACAAAATTTTGTACCATATTATTGAACGTTAAGGGGCAACCGTCAAATTATTGTACAATATATATTGTACAATAATATTGACTGTCTATGGGCCGCTTTAGTTTATTAAAAGTAGGCTCTCTAAAATGAAAGGGTTTACTAAAGAAATTACTATTAATAACCTATATAGATCATTTAAAATAAATCCAGACGGGTTTAAACAAAAAATCAGGCCTACGTTACTTGACTCTTTTGGTTTATTTTTATGTTTTATTGTAATATATGTTACCTTATCTTTATGGTACATAAAAAAATCGATTGACACACAATAACCTTCAAATTCATGAAGAACAAAGGTAAAAACCAATACAAATTATGCTATATTTATTATGTAAATTACCTTTTATTTCAGCTCCTAAAGGCTATTGGCAAGAACCGTCGGCACGTTTCGAATTATTTTCAACCTACTTCCACCAAAATAAATTTATTTAAATATCCTGAGCTATCCTTAAGACTGTAAATATAATTATTTTAATCTTGAAAACTTAACAAAATGACCCCTTTTCGCGATAGACTTTCCCATAAATATACAACTCGAATCATCCCCCTTTCACATGCAAACTTCTGCTCAAGAAGTTATGCATGGATAAAAATGTAAATGGGTATGTTAATTGAATCACAAAATGTTACATTTGCTATGTTAATTTTACGCATAATGTGAAACGTAATATCATCATTAAATGTTTGATGTGTCAAAGTAAGATAAAGTATGACTTGATAATTTTATACGATACTTTATTGATTATTGGCCTAAAAATAAATATTTGCAAAAACTTTTATCACTTGAAAATAGAGATGTATTTGGGTAAAATTAAACTTTAAAAATGAATTTCCTCGAAGTCAAATGCACCTAAAGTCTTTTGACCGACTTTAAAAATAATGTCAACTTTACCCTTTATACATTATTTTTGTAATTTTAGGAAACTCACTCTTTCCAGGCCTGAATTATCGGCATTCCATGCAATGACGGGGATGCCGAGGTATCCGGCTAGCTGTAGGAAGTACTGGGCCGATGCTGTGCTCCTTCCGTACTTCTCATAATTCATCAAGTATAGGATGGCTGATACGTTCACAGACAGGAAATCCTTACAAAGCGAATTCAGAATATCTGCAAAAAAAAAAAAAAAAATTAAACTACCAATATTTAAAAATTATAAAAAGACATTAAATTTGAAGTAAATTTACAACAAATTAGAGGAAAATATTTAAGGTGTCTACACGACCTTAAGCGGCTCGAAACGTTTATTGCGATTAGTTTAATATAACAATAAAGATTAATGCGTTAATACAATCGGAAGCGAACTGAACATGTCATTTATTTAGCTAAATGTGATAAATTTTCTAGTCGATTATGCTGAATTCACAAATATAAATAAAAAATAAATTTAAAAACTTAAATTAACAATATCAACATGAACTTAAAAAGACTTAAAAAGTTAAAAAAAGACCTTACTCGGATGGAATCAATATTTCAATTAACATTTAGTTAAATGTATTTATTTATTAGTGTATACCCATAATGAAGATCGGTTTAAAAAACGAAAATAAAAAAAAGGTACATAAAGTGTTAAAATGTATCATTAAAACTAACTTAACACTCCAATAAAATTAATTAAGGTTTTTAGTTGAGATAAAAAGTCAGTGTCACGAGCGGGATTCGAACCCATGATCTTCGGCTAGATACGCCGCTGCTCTACCACTTGAGCGATCGTGACCTCGATCCACTCGGACACTAACTTCCCGTCTGAACCCCACCTTTTGAATTTTCCCCCCATTTTTGCCACTTTTCAAATGCCGTGTAATCTATTTCATTCTCGGTGACAAATTTTCATCTCAACTAAAAACCTTAATTAATTGAAAGATATTAATTGGTCAAGCGGACCACGAAACTAGTGAACTCCTATAAAATACACTACACGACAACCACTTTTTTTTTTTTTAATTCCATCTTTAATCGGAACAAAATTAGTGAATTGAACAGAAGTAAAAATATACATTGACATCCAGTATATCAATAAATTTTAAGTAGGCGACATTAATTAGTTGTTCTAAAAATTTCACAAATACTTCGCTTTCATAATAAAAAATATGAAAATAGATGACTAAAATAATGCGTTTTTTTACATAAAGTTGAAAGGTTAATATTAGTTTATTTCTTTACTTTTTGTTCTAGATGTTAAGATCAAATACGTGTTTTTCCCATATTAAGGTGAGTAAATTTTGTATTAATTACACCCATCTATAATTTATTAAATTTAAATAAAAAATATTGTTAACTCTTGAACATTCACCACTTACATAAATCGTATGGTCATGATAATTTTCATATAATTGTCTCGATAGCAGCCTTTAATGTTATATTTTTTGCTTAAATGAAAAAAAAAAAGAAATCCAGGCTGAGGTGTGACTAAGTTGTCAGAGTGTGCCAACAATACGGCCCGCAGTTTTGACTGCGTTAATGTAAATGTGAGTTGTCATAAATTTAATGGTAGAGGTCTAAATAAACAAAAAGGTATACAAAAAGATACAAAAAGTATTACTTTGTTTTAAAATTGTGGAATAAATATTCAAATTAGTAATTTTTACCTATATGGTAAGTTAACCATATATCAGGTTACATTATATGTTTCTATTTATTGTAAACATTTTAATTGAAATTGTATAAAAATTTATTTAAAGTTTTATAATCAGGTTTAAATATGTAAATATTATTACTGATTTTATTAATATTACAATTAAAGGTTGATGAGTATTGCTAACACATTGATTGTAAAGAACAGGATAACCGCATGGAGGTTACAATTTCGAAATAGAATGGAGATGAAATAGTTTTAAACCGAAAGTCTTCGTATTTGTAAATTGATGTGTAACTTGGGTAATATTATCAATAATTTTATTTTGCTTATTGTGGAGTCCTTGGCAATGTTGGGACTTAGTCGGTTTTCAAGGAAAATTTGAGATCGCGTGTAAAAAATATATATATGTTAATCTGAAGACATATTTAAGATATTTTTGACCTGATGTGGACCTTAACATTGGTCGACAGGTTGGCGGTAACACCTGAATTTGTTTTCTTCTTCAAGACCATACCTTGATCTAGATTCTAGAGTTTTCATGAGTGAAAATTTGTCGATATTTTTAGTACTGATAACTGATTATGTTAAGTAAATAAGCGTTATTTTTTAAGACGATTTAAGGTCGGAAGGGTTAATGTAAAAGAAGAAGCAATAGTTATTCAGATATCGTGAGATGCGGTCGGGTGTGATGTAGGTTTCAGAAAAACATTTTCTTTATCGTGCCAACGTTTCGATCTTTTATTGAGCCCTGAAGATGATCTCAATAAAAGATCGAAACGTTGGCACGATGAAGAAAATGTTTTTCTGAAACCTACATCACACCCGACCGCATCTCACGATATCTGAATAACTATCGATTAACGTTCACTAATCTCTACACAAGAAGCAATGGTGAGGTGAGATAACGCTTCGGTTAAATAATTTTAACAACGGATTAAGTTTGATTAGTAGAGTTATTTTTTAATGAAATTATGATTCAATATCTTTCCGGTGAAGCGATCTTTGTTTTGATGCAATTTCTTCTATTTTAATTTATGTAACTTTTATTTTAAAAAAATCACAATTCTGATTGTCTTAGAAAAATCAATAATCCAGTTAATTTTTTTTGTAGATATTGAAGTCTAAATTTTTCAGGGTACTAATTATGTAAACTAAAAACAATTGAAAATTCAATTTTGGTTGTTGGAAAATACTAAAACTATGACATAAATAAAATTTACAATATAGAAATGCTATTAAGACCGACCTTCCATTTTTTTCTATATTTTCACAAGTTTCTTATTTCTTTTTTAGACAAACAATTAGTTTTCTAGTTGATATCAACATCCTAGTTTTAGTCTCTCCGATCAAATCCCAAAGCCAAAAATAATTTCAAGTTGTGTGCTGGTTGGTCGATGTGACAAGGATAAATATCCTGAGGTAAACAAACTTTGAATTTAAGAACCAATTGTAATTCAATATTAAAAAGAAGTTATTTAATATTTACAATTTAAAACAAAATGGAAATATTTTATTTAAAATGTTTACACTTGGCTATAGGTTTTTTTTTAAACTCATCTTGATGTACTGTCACTTTTTTTGTGACATATTACTGTTATGGGGATTACATTTATGTGAAATTCTTGGAAAATGTTATATTTGATTATTTATTGATATTTAATTAATAATAATAAATATTTGTGTTTCTGTAAAATCAAAAATAGTGTATTATCAAATATAACGTTTGTGATGATTAGTGACCTTTAGTCCATGATTATTCAGAAATCGTGAGATGCGGTTTGGTGTGATGTAGGTTTCAGAAAAACATTTTCTTTATCGTGCCACCGTTTCGATTTTGATTGAGATCATCTTCAAGGGTCAAATTGTTTGTTTTCTGCGTAAGTGTGCCATTCACATGTGCCAACGAACACTTTGAGCCCTGAAGATGATCTCAATAAAGGTCGAAACGTTGGCACGATAAAGAAAATGTTTTTCTGAAACCTACACACCCGACCGCATCTCACGATTTCTTAATAATCATGGACTAAAGGTCATTAATCACCACACACGTTATATTTGATAATACACTATTTTTGATATTACAGAAACAAAAATATTAATTATTATTAATTAAATGTTAATAAATATGTATAAATATTAATAAATTAATGTTCATATTAATAAATAAATTATATTAATAATTAAAAATTCATTGGTTCACAAAGTAGCAGTTAAGTATTGTTTATGTAACTAAGTTATTTAAATCAATTATTCTTTTTATTTAAACCAAGACCTTACACGAAAATTATAAAAAATTTAAATATATTATTAGATTTTATTAAAAAGTAATATCGGGTGTCACCCTCTATTGTATGAATATGACAAAAAGAAGCCAGTGTAATTCAATCGTTCGTTTCAACCTCATTTTCAAATTCAGACAACAACAAAAAATAGATAAAAATACACCGACGAAGGTTTTATCATGATTTATTCTCAAGGGCGTATTCATTTCGATGGGTACCATACAAAACATTTGTCGCTTTCCCGACATCAGACAATCAGACCAAACCAACATTTCCCGGTTGATTCTCTGCTCTTGAAACTCGATTTGGTCGGATTCGATGTAATAGATATTTCCAGGAAAACGATTTCTCAGGAGTGACTGTTTTCCGTCTCTTCGGCTCCATTCCAAACAGATCCTTTTTCTCATATGGAATTCCTCACGTTCATTGTTTAATTAATAGGGTATCAGGGCTCGATTTATAAAAGTAGTTTATCTGGAAACCTTTTTTTTTCCTTATTTCTTATTCCGATCGTAGGTTCGTTTATTCAACCGACAGTAGGTATATCACAAAACCCAAATTTTCCTAAAAGTCCACCCATTGTATAATTATTTTTCTATTTTTCTTTCTGAATTTTTTAGTTTTTTCAGTAATTTTTAAAATTAGATATATTAAAAGTTTAAACCTCTGCTATTTGTACTGCCTAACAAAACTTCACATATTTTTGTAGGTGTATTTTCTCTGATCGATAATCTTTTTGTCAGTTATTGTAGTTCGATATGTAATTATAGTTTCAATTTTATTAAAATTTACTAATTCACAATTTACAATAATTGTGTGTTTGTTTTTTATAATGAGGATACTATGATGCGATAAAGATTAAACCGTTCCTAAACAATCTTCACAATTTATAAGCAATTTAGCAGACCTGTTGCTACGGTCCAAACCCGGACGACCACAGTGTGTCCCGTCGCTCAGTAGTGGTGGTGGTAGGAAAGTTTTTAAAGTTTTAATTTTAATAATTTTTCAATTAATTAATATTTATGAAAGGTATTGGTCGAGATAAAAAAGTCAGCGTCACGAGCGGGATTCGAACCCACGACATTTTTCGTGGCCATTTCATTTGTCTCCGAGAATCAAATAGATTACACAACATTTGAAAAATGGCAAAAAGGAGGGACAAATTCAAAAGGTGGGGTTGAGATGGGAAGTTAGTGCCCGAGTGGATCGAAATCACGATAGCTCAAGTGGTAGAGTAGCGGCTTATTTAG